GTAGAGGAAAAACTGAGAGTGATGCTAAAGGAGACCCAAAAAATACTGAAGAAAATAACACCTTAAAAAATAGCCTAACCCAAATGGCAAAAGAGGTCCAAAAAGCCAATGAGGAAAAATGCCCTAAAAAGCAAAATTGGCCAATGGAAAAGGAAGTCCAAAAGCTTACTGAAGAAAATACTTCCTTAAAAATTAGAATAGAGCAATTGGAAGATAGTGACTTTATGAGAAATCACAACACAGTAAACAAATCCAAAAGAATGAAAAATTAGAAAACAATGTGAAATATCTCATTGGAAAAACAACTGACCTGGAAAATAGATCCAGGAGAGAGAATTTAAAAATTATTGGACTATCTGAAAGCCATGATCAAAAAAGAGCCTAGACATCATCTTTCAAGAAATTATCAAGGAAAACTGCCCTGATATAGAACCAGAGGGCAAAATAGAAATTGAAAGAATCCACAGATCTCCTCCTGAAAGAGATCCCCAAAGGAAAACTCCTAGGAATATTGTAGCCAAATTCCAGAGTTCCCAGGTCAAGGAGAAAATATTACAAGCTGCCAGAAGGAAACAGTTCAAGTACTGTGGAAACACAATCAGGATAACACAAGATTTGGCAGCTTCTACATTAAAGGACTGCAGGGCATGGAATATAATATTCCAGAGGGCAAAGGAGATAGGATTACAACCAAGAATCACCTACCCAGCAAAACTGAGTATAATCCTTCAGGGGAAAAAATGGTCATTCAGTGAAATAGAGGACTTTCAAGCATTCTTGATGAAAAGACCAGAGCTGAATAGAAAATTTGACTTTCAAATACAGGACTCAAGTGGAACATGAAGAGGTAAACAGGAAAGAGAAATCATAAGAGACTTATTAAGATTGAACTGTTTACATTCCTGCATGGAAAGATGATATTTATAACTCATGAGACCTTTGTCAGTATTAGGGTAGTTTAGGGAAAAAATTATATGTTAAGAGAGAGAGAGAGAGAGAGAGAGAGAGAGAGAGAGAGAGAGAGAGAGAGAGAGAGAATAAATAAAGGGCACAGGGTGAGTTGAAGATTAAGGGGTCATATCTGGAGAATAAAATTAAGTGATGAGAGAAGATTATAGTCAGAGAAGAAGAAAGGGAGAGGTAGAATGGGGTAAATTATCTCACCAAAAAAAAAAAACAGAAAAGAAAAGTCTCTTACAGTGCAGGGGAAACAGGGGAAGGTGAGAGGGAATGAGTGAATCTTATTCTCATAATATTTGGCTTGAGGAGGGAATAGCATGCACATTCAATTGGGTATGGAAATCTTTCTTACCCTACAGGAAAATAGGGGGAGAAGGGGACAAGAGAGCAGGGGGATGATAGAGAGGAGGGCAGATTGGGAAAGAGGGTAATCAGAAGCAAATACTTCTGATGAGGGACAGGGTCAAAAGAAAGAATAGAATAAATGGGAGGGCAGGATAGGATTAAGGGAAATAGAGTTAGTTTTTAAGAAGTCTACTATGGAAGTGTTTTGCATAACTGCTCATGTATAACCTATATTGAGTTGCTTGCCTTTCCAATGAGGGTGGGTGGGGCAGGAGGAAGAGAGAAAATTTGAAACCTAAATTTTAAAAACATATGTTTAAAAAAAATGTTTTCACACACTACTGGAAACTAAGAAATACAGGAAATGGGGTACAGATGTCCATCCTGCCCTACAGGAAAATAGAAGGGGATAAGAGAAGGGGGGGTGAGATAGAAGAGAGGACAGACTAGGGGAAGGGATATTCAGAATGCATGCCATCTTGGGGTGAGGGGAGGGGTGAGATGGGGTGAAAATTTGGAACTCAAAATCTTGCGGAAGTAAATATTAAAACTAAAAATCAATAAATTTATATTTAAAAAAAAAGTAACAGCTACACTGTGTGATGACTGACTTTGATAAACTTAACCCATCGCAGAAGAACAAGGAACTAAGACATCTCCAAAGGCCTCATGATAGAAAATGCCGTCTATACCCAAAGAAAGAACCATGGGATTTGAGTGTGGATTGAAACATACTATTTACTATTTTTTTTCTCTTCTGTTGAGTTTTGTTTCCTCTTTCTGGGGGTTCCTCCTATTGGTTCTAATTCTTACTTACAACATCACTAATGTGAAAATATGTTTGATAGGAATGCATATGTAGAACCTATATCAGATTGTGCACTGTCTCAGGGAGGGTGGTGGGGAGTAAGGGGGAGAAAAATTTTAAACTCAAAAGCATAGGGAAGTGATTGTTGATAAATCAAAATAAATTAGTAAAACAAAAAAAAGCAAAAAAAAAAAGATACAGCTACAATGGAATGTCACCCCAAAGGAATCAAGGAAGATTATTGGCATGACTCCCAAATAAGACGGAAAGTAATCATGTAATTTAACTTAGAGAAGACAAAGCAGATTTACTCTTGGATAATTTGTATGAGAAATAAAAATCTCTCAGATTATTTTGTATAAGGGGGCATTGCAGGGTGGCCATGTCCCATGTTTAAACAGCTGAAGGAGGTCAGGTCGAGAGGATGAAACAAGCTGCAACCAGGGAGAACTAAGCTTGTCATTTGGAGAAACTAGAGTAACAGTGCTGTCAAAGTGATCTTGAATCAGTCAGCCACTGGCTTTTCTCACCAATCCCTTCTTAATGGTATGATTTAAGTGGGGAAAAAAATCCTAAATAATGAATACCAGGATTTCCCTGGCAATATCTTCCAATCTGGACTGGCTTGAGACACTTTCCTTCTGTTTGGTCCTGTAGAAGGGAAGTGCTCATCAGGACAAAGATAATCAATACTATGCAATCACAGAATCTCTTAGTTGGAAATAATCTCAAAGGCTGGCTAGCCTCAGACTGTACCTAAATGAGCATGCTCTGTAAAAGCCTGGAAGAGGCCAGGAGCAGCCTTCAAATGGACCCTCAGCTTTTGCTTCAAGAAAAAAATACTTTGACTGAGGGGTGACTGCTACCTCTTAAGGCAGCACATTTTACTCTTTTTATCTGCAAATGGTAGGTGGGCTTTCTCTTCCCCTATTTTCCCATTATATTGAGATTCTATTGTCTATCTCTTAGCGACTCCCAACCATTCTTCCTAGTTTTGTCTTCTGGGGCCAAGTTAAAAAAAAAAGTCTAATCCCTTCTCCCCATGCCAGTCTTTCAGATAATAGAAGGCAGGTGGAAGGTCCCTCATGTCCTTTTTTCTTCTTAGATTCTTCAAGGGATCCTCAGATGGCATTTCAGTTCTACTGTCCTCACCATCTGAGCTGTCCTTGTCTGGACATATTCTGCTTTGCCAATATCCTTCCTATAATGTGGATCTATGAGAATTGTGGGAATATAGTGAGTCAATAGACATATATTTAATAACTGAAAGGCAAATCTGCACAATTAACTGAAACACATATATCAGTATTCACTTGGGGTATTGGAAGGGGAGAGATGATAAACAGAGGAAGAGGATGAGTCTTCGGACAGCATGTAGCAGGACCCCAGCCCAGAGAGGGCACTGGCCCTGAGTCACTCAATCTGGTTTCACTCCCCACCTTCACCACTTCCTTAGTTATAGGATCCCAGACAAGTCACTTAAATTACTCAGTTTTCTTATCTGTAAAACGAAAGGAAGGGGTTAGACTCAATGGTTTCCCAGTACCTTCCAGTTCTCAATCTATGATTGTTTTCTTGTGGAAATAGCTGTGCTTGTTAGTGAAATCAGAGAGCACCTGTAGGGCAAACGAAGCTCCACTTCACGTACTAGGGGCAGGCACATCACAGTAACCCCTACTCAACACTCTGCCACACATTCAACTCCTGGAATTGGTGACTAAAGTGATGCATTGCTTAACGTTTAGGGACCTCAGTTTCCTCATCTACAAAATGAAGTGGCTGGACGATAATAGCGCTTGGTTATCAACACAAAGCTTGAGCACGTTTCACGGCGCATGCCCTCAGGCCACCGAGGCCAACAAAAGCTGCCAAAAGGCGCAAAGGGGTCGGAGCTGAAAAAGTTTAAGAAGCCCGGGACTACATGACCTCTTGGGCTCTTTCCAGCACTGGCTGGATGATGCTGCGGGCCCTGGCCTGGACACACTTAACAATTCATCGAAGTCGCAGGATTCAGGATCGAAGGGCTTTCAAAGGACCTCTAGACCATCCTCTCATTTTAGAGGGAGAGGCTGAGACCTAGGGAAGGAAGTCAAGCTAGCGACGGATGCTTGTTTCTTCCTGCAGCCTGGAACATTTTCTCTTGTCTTCCCCACCCCACTCACAGAAGGAGTCCGAAAGACCTAAGCTGAAATCCAGTCTTTCCCATTGAAGAAAGACAGAGTTTCTGAGAGTTCGAATAGTTTACTCCACCCTTCCTTGCCTCAGTTTGTCCGTCTGTAAAAGGAGGAGGTTTGGAGAAAGCGACCTCTCCAGACCCTCGCAGCTAAACTGATGGCCCATGGCCCAGGAACCTGCCTAGATACTGCAGGTGCAGCAGCTGGGAGCGGAGCTGGCCAAAGATAACCCAATAAGAAGGCCAGAAAGGAGGGAGGGAAGGGGAGGAGAAAAGCAGCTGACTGGAGGCTGGAGACAAGCTACTCCTAGATGGGAAGAACCTGGAAACTTTGGGCTGCCGCCTGAGCTGAGCTGAGCCCGTCCTTGATCTGGGCAGCCGCCCCGCAGACCAGGATAAACAGCTGAGTGGCCTGTGTCATTCCTATTCCTGCCTGCCTCATCTTCCCCAGCGCTCCAGGCAGAGACAGAGGCAGCCGCCGCCGCTGAGGCCGCCAGAGCTGGGCAGGATTATTTGCAGCAGCCCTCCCTTCTCCTCCCCCCCCCCCACCCCGCAGCGGGCGCACAGGCTCACACACGGGCACGCGCGCGCGCGCGCACACTCTCTCTCTCTCTCTCTCTCTCTCTCTCTCTCTCTCTCTCTCTCTCTCTCTCTCTCTCTCTCTCTCTCTCTCTCCCTCTCTCTCTCTCTCACACACACACACACACACACGCGCGCACACACGGCGCACACACGGCGCACACACGCGCACCTCCAGCATCAGCGCATCTCTCTCCCTCTCCATCTCCGCGCTGCTAGCGAGGACCCCGCCAGGCGTGAGAAGCCTCCAAGCCAGGGACAACAGGTATAGCCACGTCTCTCGGTCCCCTCCCCAGCTCGAGTCCGATCCCCCCCCACCCCTCCTAGGCTTCTCCCTCTGCCTCGCTAGTGATGGGGGAGCCTGCGATGGCCGCGGGTCCGGAAGCGGGGAACGGTGGAGAAGCCACCTAGCCATGAGTCCCTCCGCCCGCTGCTCCGGCTCTGGGCAGTCGGTAGTGAGTGGCTGGTTAGGCTGGGAACTGGGAGGCGGCAGGAGGGCGCTGGTAGCCCAAAGTACGCTCACTAGCTACTCCCAGCCTTTCTGGGGTTCTTGGGGCTGGGCAGGAGATGGGCGCGGGTGGAGAAGCCTCCCTCAGCCTCTGAGTTCCCCGAGCCTCCGCTTCGGGGGTGTGTGGGTGAAGCGGGGCGGGGAGAGCAGTTCTATTCAACAGCCTGGCACTCGGAGCCTTAGGAGGCTAGGCTCGGTCGGGGTCCTTCTGGCCTCTGGGCCCCTGTGGTCCTCTCGGGGGAAGAGACTCGTTCCGACTCCAGCAGTGTCCTGGTCTATGCCGTGCTTGCATCACACACTGCAGTGAATTGGGCTCATCCAGAAACCGATCTTGGGCTAGCCCTGGGGCTAGGGAAGGAGGGGCTTTAGAGAAAGTTGGAAGACAGTGGGTAATTGAGGCTAAGACTTTAGTTCTCAATTTCCCAAGATCAAAAGGACAGTCCTAGGACTTATGGAGTCACTACCTTCAGCCTGGGTGCTGCTCGCTCTCCCTTTTCAGGGGGCACTCGGGTTCTAAGGAGGGCAGGGTCCAGAAACAGCGCCCATTGGCTCTTCTCCTGCTGATTCTGAAGGCTTCTGAAAGTTCCCAGGGAACTGACAGCCAGGTATTCCAGTTGTCTTCTCCAAAGGAAATCTCCAAAGGGCAGCACTGGTAGTGTCCACAGACCAGACAGACAAGGCCCTTTACAATTCTCCTCATTTGCGAGATAAGTCCCACTTTCATTCACTGGCCCACCTCCTCCAAGTAACAGATGCGTGGTTGTGTGCTAGGGACCCACGCTGACGAGGTGACCAAGGCAACTTACCATCACCTTTGAGATGAGGTTTGGAGAGTTTCATCGGCTCATCACTACAGCCTCATCCCCCATTCCTGACACTGAGCTAAGTCTCATAAAGCAGAGCTTTTCACTCAGATCCTTGCAACTTGTGGACTTAAGATGCTTTGAGATTGCTGAGAGAGATTGTGGTCTTAAATTGAAACTCAAACCGACCGACCCTCTATTCCCTGCTAGCTCATCCCAGGAACTGCTAAATCTGTCAGGGAGGTGAGAGCAGGGCAGTAACAGGGGAGGGTGGAGCACCTTTGGTTTAAAACAATAATAATAATAATAAATTACTAAGTCCTAGGAAAAGAATGCCAGCAGAATGTAGTTTCTTTCTAAAAAGGGTGAGGCAGAAGTAAATCTTTTCAGATTCTCTCTCCAACTCCTATTTCCTACTGATCAGTTTTCACAATACAATATTCCTCCCCACTTTGAGGCAGGGAGGAAGAAAAGAAAATCCCTGAAAAGCAAGGGAGACACACACTGCTTGAAAATAACATGAACTGGTTAGAGGAATGTTCATCACAGTGTGCAGGTGAAAGTTGGGAGAATTAATCTGCTCTTTTACTCCCACAGAAAAGCTGTGAAAGAATATATACAATTGGGTGCTTTAATGATGGAAGGGGTGGGATTTTGAGGTAGTCCTTCATGTTTTTGACACACTGGTTTGAAAAGAAACTGAAGGGCAAGGGAGTTCTGAAGTATTGGAAATGACTTTTAGACAAGGCAGGAAAATTTGGAAATCATGCATTACTAAAGAAAACACATCCCTCCTCCTCTGTACCATGTGCTTTGGCTTAAAATTCGTGGCACACCTTTATCTGGGAGCTTTCTCTTCTCTCATGTCCCTCTGTTTGAGAAGAGATGAGAAACAAACAAGGAATTCAGGAAGCAATTAAGGGTTTTTTTAAATTTTTCTTAATTTCTAAAAAAAAGTCCAGCTTTGATCCTGTTGACCTAAAACCTGAAGTGTGTAGCAGCTGTCCAGAGGTGCCCTGATCCCTGCTATGGATCATTTGATAAACTTTGGCTCCCCAGCCACAAAAGCCAGCTGCAAAGCTTGAGCATTGTCTGGGCAATGATGTTTCTGCTCTACGTTCTTGGTTCCCTAATTTGTTTTAAAGCTAAGGAGGCTCTAAGCATAGGGAAACCGGATTTGTGCAGCTCTGGGGAAAATAGCCAGAGCTCGGCAGTAATTCTGGTGTGACACGGACTGGTAGCTGAAGCATTTCAGAAAGGAATAAAGGGACAAGGGGAACAGTTGGGGAAGGTACAGAGGGCAGCCGCAGGTGGGAAGAACAGTGAATATATTGCTTTGATGCTCTGACAGGGGCCACTGCACAGAGATGGGGTGGCCCATTGCAGAGAGGGAATGGAGCCTGCAGAGAGAGACAGATGGGGATAAGCTCCAAAGTCTTTGAAAGTGAGTCACTTGGGTGGGGAGTGGGGGGAGGGCAGGATCAAAATACTCATTCCTCTTCAACCTGCCTTGTTGGGTACCTGTTAAACCAACCACAGTTATTCTTTAGGAAGCACAAAATAAGCATTGTGAAACCTATTTTGGGAACAAAATAATGATTATCTGAGAATCACAAATTTAGAGCAGGGAGAAAACTTCTCATCACTGAGTTTTACCGCTTCATCTTAAAATGGAGGAAACTGAGGCCCAGAGAGATAAAATAAGTTGCCCAAGGTCACCTAGGTAGGAGTTGACAGATCTGGGCTTTAGAGCCATGTCTTTTGACTCTGGAACTCTGGTCTTTCTAACATCCCACCTAGCTGGCAGTACCACCTAGCCAAGCTGTTCAGTTTCCTACCATTGAGAAGGATTTGCTTGGGCTGTGTCAGGATGGGTGATCCTCCTACAGCCACAGTAGAGGGTTTTTTTTATGTTTTAGTGGGATTGAAAAGAAAGAATAATAGCTATGCATGGAGAAATTTTGTGGCTCCCTCATTACAAATTCTGCTCACTTGAAATATATGTAATGTGAGGAAATGACATGGAAGTGATTTCAGTCCTAGCTTGTAATTATGTTCTTTCTATGATGTAATACAGATGTCATCTTGTCAATTTAGTCATCCCATAAGCACTTACTAAGTACCTTCTGTTTACAAGGCACTAAGAAAACACTCTAACTTAAATGAAAGTAAACAGCTCTTGCCCTTACATTATATTAGAAGAAACACATGGATCCATAAAATACAAATATAGACATATAGCAGACTTCAAAGATTCCAGATCCCTCCTCCCAAAGGAAGTGATTCTGGGGTTGGGCTATGGAGGAAATGGGGAATTCTAGGAGGCAGAGGTGAGAAAAGGAGAACACTCCAGGCACAAAGGACAGCCTGTGTAATGACAAAAAAGTGGGAATTTAGATTCCATTTGCAGAACAGTGAGCCCAGTTTGGCTAAAATGAAGAGGACCTGAAGAGGATCACAGAGGCCCAGAAAAGTTAAATGACTTGTTTAAGGTCACACATGTTGAAAGTAACTGAGGCAGGATTTGAATCCAGTTCCTCTGACCGAAATCAGTCTTCTGCTCATTATTCCAGGCTGACTGGGCTTAATATGTAAAAATTCCCAGCCTAGAAATGTAGGCTGCAATCTGTTTGTGAAGGATATTAAATGCCAAAGAAAGGGGTTTACATTTTTGTTTTAGTAGCAAGAGGGAGCTACAGATGGTTCTTGAATAGGAGAGTGATGCTACTTGAGATTTAGGAATATTCATTACTGTGCAGAGGATGGATGGCAGAAGAGTCTGGAGGTAGGAGGGCTAATTACTTGCAATAGTTTTGTGGGTATGCACCCCACTCCTGTAGAACACAAGCTTTCTTCCACATGGCCTTTAAGAGCTCCCAAGAATTCATCAATTCTGCTGAAACTATCCCTGTGAAGCTGGGCTGTAACATCCCTTTAGGCCCCTTTCATGAAGGTGCTGTTCTCATAACATCTCTATGATGCAAGCATTCACAACTCCATCCTGCAGATGATGTGACCAACTCAGAGGAGTTCACCCAGTCGGTGCCAGGATCAGAATTCAAAGTTGCAAACTGTAAGACCAGTCAACTAGCCACCTGCCCCAAGCTGCCCGAGTCCAAGGTCAGAGAACCTGGGTTGGAATACAGCTGCATCCCCTTGGACAACTCATTTAAACCTCTCTGTGTCTCATTTTTCTCATTTGTAAAATGAAGACGTTATAACAGAGAAATTCTTAATTTGGGGCCCATGTCAACTATAACTGATTTCTTAAATAGTTATTTTATATATTTTAATTATACATGCATCAATACACTGAATTTATGCATATTAGTTATTCTAAGAAGGGCTCCCCAGGTTTGATCTATCTGCCCAAAGGGTCTGTCCTACAAAAAGGATTAAGAATACCTGGTCCAAAGGTTCCCAGCTCTAGCTCAGTGATCCTTTTATCTCTCTGGACTCAGTTTCCTTATCTACAAAATGAGGACACTGGACAAGATGACATCTCAGGGCCCTTTTGCCTCTAAATTTGTGATCCTGGCTGTGGGATCTCCTTCCTTTCCCTCTTCCTTCTTTCTCCCCTCAAGCACTCCATACTCTGCTTGCTCTCTGTATATGATGCTTGGAAAGAAAACTGAAAAATTAATTGAAAACTGAAAAATTCAAATTGATGAGACTAGGTTTTCATAGTCAAGGGTTGTGTATTTTATGAGCGTGTGTGTATGGGGTGGGGAGGGGCTTGTTCTCTGTCCTAGCCATTCAATCATTCCTGCTGTTAATAGTAGAATTAGATAATTATTTATTGGGGATGATGGAGGGGAAACGGTTTTAACTTTTTAGGTAGCAATTGCCAGGGCCACCCAGCCTCTTCACTGGGCTCTTCCTACTCAGGGACCACAAACCAGCCCCAGGATGGTAAAATATGGAGCAGGAAGGAAAGAACCAGCAACAGTCGGG